GAATAAGCCTAATTTCATCAAAATCGGAGGTGAGACGGGTATTCTATACCTTTACCTAAATTTTTATTTGTGCGCAAAAGTGCTTGTAGGCAATCGAGCTGTAGGCAATCGAGCTGTAGGCAATAGTACATGTAGGCAATCGAGCTGTAGGCAATAATGCATGTAGGCAATAGTACATGTAGGCAATCGAGCTGTAGGCAATAGTACATGTAGGCAATCGAGCTGTAGGCAATAATGCATGTAGGCAAAAGTAATTCTGTTTCTAAAATTTTTATTTGTGCGCAAAAGTGCTTGTAGGCAATCGAGCTGTAGGCAATAATGCATGTAGGCAAAAGTACATGTAGGCAATAGTACATGTAGGCAATCGAACTGTAAGCAATAATACATGTAGGCAATCGATCTGTAGGCAATAGAACATGTAGGCAATCGATTTGTAGGCAAATGGGATGTAGGCAAAAGGTGCTGTAGGCAATCGATTTGTAGGCAAAAGCAACCCTCTCGGGGCAACCAATCAGCATCGTTCCGTTCCAATTTTAAGTAGCCCGGGTTCCCATGAGACATATTTTTCGGAAACGGAAATTTTTCGTACTGTCAGTCACCAATGATCACTAGCGATTAAAAATAATATTGAAAAAATTCAACTAAAAGGAGCATTGAAAAGGTGGAAAATGTCATTTGTAAGTATTGTAATTACATGTATGTTAAATTATTTTATATTAGATTATAATGATGGTTTTGCTTCCTGAGCATCTTCTTGGCTTAATATCAATTCAAATTGCTTATTATTTTAACCGTCTAACAGGTAACCTTGTCTTTCACTATTTTTACTGTGACTGTTGCATCTTTCCAGCCGCAGTAGTCACAGTAGAAAGTGACGATAAAATCTATGACGTCATTATTCCATCGCAGTGCTATCGTAGCTTAAGGCCATCACACGTACAAAAATTTTGGAACAAACTTTACAATGCTGCCAATACTGGCAGTGAGTTACGGAATGCAGCCATAGTAGTATTACATATATCATATATGTCCAATAAGCGCTTAGTATTATTGGTATAGAGTATGGTTAGTAGATCCAATATGGAAGACCTATGCGCTACTTCTATGCGCCATTTTGATTCATGTATAGAGCTTTATGGCGTGGTCCCATGGTGCGGAACGTATGCGCAATGCGGAATTGGCGGAACGATGTCCGTCCAATTGCAAGCATTCCGTCAATTACGCTCCGCCGATGTCTTTTCTAAACCAATCACGAGCGTTCCGACAACTCTGCATTGCGCCAATTCCGCACCATGGGACCGCACTATGAGTGCACTCTGAGATTTTAAAGCATAAAACTTAAAGAAATTGATCAATCATAGTAAATTGTTCTCCTCACATTCGACTGTGTGATTAGTCAATTTCTTACAACTTAAGGCTAAAGCTGGAAACACAATAGTCGCGTTCAGCAGACTTAACTGTTGCAAAGAGGATCCGTGAGCGTTCGCTGCTATTGGTGTATTCTTTTAGATCATCCAATAGCAGCGAGAGCTCAACAGTTGAGCCTGACCAATGGGCATAGGCAATAGGCACAGGAAACAGAGAATAACGAGCCGTCCAATCAGAGCTCTGGGATATAATATCGAACTTATATCCCAGAGCTCTGATTGGACGGCTCGTTATTCCCTGTTGCCTGTGTCTATTGTGGGAGCTTTCCAACAAGCGACACTGTGCGACACAGCGATCACCTCATCTTTGTTTAATATTGGTGAACAACAATGTGCAACGATTCACCGTGTCACACCGTGTCACTCTGTGTCTCTTCTTGGAAAGTGTGTTTCCAGGTATAGGAATAATAGATTTTAACCTATTAGAAACGGTGACTCGGGTCGAGTTCTCGCACCTTGGATTATTGGATACAAGGCTTTAAAAATTTAAACGCGGCAGCAGCTGTTCCCGTGACACTTTCTCAGACTGGCGCGCCGTCTAGATACGCGCAATTGCTCCTTGCCAATGCAATAGCGACCGATTTCAGAATGGCGACTGTCTTCATTTAGGAGGGTATTGGTTTCACGCTCTTTTGTGATACCCCGTGTGACCTCCGCGAGGCCTTCTATGCCAAACCGTGACACGGAACTCACCGAGAATGATAATCGACAATCCGGACGTGTTCAAGGCTTGGCTTACCGCCGTGCTGGAGCCGTTGTAAGTAGGCCAGTCTGTACCCCCCTGAAGAGAGTGCACCACTCCGTGCGTGTGTGTATGCGCTCGGTGTTCGTAAATGGCCGTACATGTGGTGTCGTTACG